TGCAGTGTTGCGATTTTATGAAACTGCACGGGTTTCAAGATTCTGCTGTTTGGTAAAATGTATTAGTAACTTTCATTATAATAATGTTTACCTGTTTCAACATCACACTATTCGTGTGTTGATATTTAAAAAAAAAAATCACAAAATCTTTACTTACCCTCTACTTTGAGTAGAAATAGTATGTTTCTTAATATTATTACATATGTATATTTTCATATATAGGTAAGTGAGAATAAAAATTACAGATGGTATAAAATATTCATTGAAAATAATTAATAACTACATCGACAATTTATTGTAAAAAGTCATTATAATACATTGTTGTTGAACCAAAACTTTCAAGTACCTTTTTGTGAGTTTCAGCGTTTTTTATCGATATAAAAACACAAGTAAGTCAATCCAAATTAAACAAACACTTTTATATATCAACTATGGTTTCACTATTTGTACAATATTCTGGTTTTATAGAGAGATTCATCAAAGTACTTAGTGATTAAATTTTATGAAACTTAATGACTTTGTGCAATAAACCAACGATATGTTTTTCTAACCTAGTTCATTTCGATAATTAATTGTATATTTTAATTAATTTCTTAATTATAAGGGAGCCACAATTTTTTTAGTCCGATAAGAATACACAATCATTTTGAGAACCGCTGTTCTATAATATATCACAAAGGCTGAACCATTTTATTATATTATCTATATAATTAAATATTGATTAATATAATTATTAATTACACTATCGGACTTCGCGGGTTCCTCGCCTATGACATAGCATGGATTGCGTTCGAAAGCTATCGTAAACTCTCGGCTAACATCGTCCGCACGGACCCGCTGGGTACTTTCGTTGATTCTCGATTCTATTTCATTAGTCCTCATTTCTCCTTTAATTAATTTTAAAAAAAAATATTCATAATTACAATGTAATAATTTTTTTTATTAATAGTTACAGTGTGAAAAGGTTATTTATTTAAATAAAATTTAAAGGTATTAAAATTGAAATTTAGCAAAAAACAGTCAGAATAATTAAATGAGAATAATCTCTGGTATTAAAGACTACTTACTTTAACATTTATATAACGAGTTTAATCAATATCGTAAGAGCCATTTTTTAGGAAATGGTAAATATCGATGGTAAGAAATGCCACTTCCGGTTGGTTGAGTTTGGTGAAAGATGTTCTTAAAATTGCAGGCACATATCTACCTCAAGTACGTAATTTACACACAAACGATTTTGTGGGGCTATATTATTTAGACTTCAAGACGTGTACTGTCGTTGAAAGCTTGGATTTCAGGATAGCAATATTTTTTCTAATCATATATTTCATTCATAAACAATATTAAAACCCGAGATCTGCAAATGAGACAAGTAGTAGAACGATCGGATCTTTTTCCATGAAACACCATTCAGTTAATTATTACATTCTAATAATTATAAATTATCGAAATATAACGAGGTTGAATAAAATATATATAGAAATAATTATGTCAAGCAGGGAAAGAATGAAAACAAATACTTTAACAGTGGTTTTGCGGTTAATAATTGCTATGATGTTCGAGCAGTATCAACATAATAATTTATAATATTATATTTTTAGAATAAATACATAAAAATCCGTAGGTAGCTCTTTTATGATTCCTAATTGTTGTATGTTTCACTAATTTATAACGAAAATATTATCCATGTTTCAACTCTAAAACCATCGTGTTTTAATCTCATAGGAAAACGTCACAAACTGCATGCAACCAGTTGATTCTGTTGAATGGTCGGATCTGAAATTTATTTAACCGTACTACGAGGGTAAAATTTTATTGTATTTTTTCCGTTGAATAGGTCAAATGTCTTCTGCATGTTAATTTTAAACAGAGGACCAGAATTAGCATCGCGTCCACTAACAGAAGGAGCTGTTTGCACCGCTGCGATACAACACCAGATACTGCTGTGGCAGAGAAATGAGTTATATCCCGTTTTTTAGGTTTTATCATACTTCAGTGTTATCGATCTGTTTGAAATTTCTCATTGATACCGTATAATTCAAAATAATCAAAAAATCTGGTGCGGTACGCATCACACAACTTTCACTTATCACTCTCTTCTTAGCGGAAAAAGGAATTTTCAGACAAAGGGGAACTGAAAGTAAAATTATAGACGCTATATTAATTTATATTTCATTGTGTGAATTTTTATTTTTTAAAAGTACCCTTATAGATCCAAATTTTAATATTTATATAGCTGCAATCTATACAATTAAATATTAAATAACAAAACAATAGCATATATGAAAACCACATATGTATATTTATATAATATTGTCGGGGTCCGTATTATATTAAACTCATGTTAGCGTGTTCTAATCTTTCGGGCGGGCTCGGGCGCGCTCGTATTTCTTCGGTTTTTCATTACAACTATTCTCCGTTACGAACTCATATTTCTCTTTTAGTTAATTATCAAATTCTTTCATATTTTATATTTAACTATCATATTAAATCTATATAATTTATTATTATTATATAATATTAATATTATTATATAAATTATATAAAATTTATAATTCACATTTTATATTAGAAATTAATGTGAAATGGCAATGTTTTCAATTAAAAAAAAAATAGAGCTACTTTAGGAGAAACTAATTTTGAAAATTAGCCATTTAGCCGTGTTAGAGAACATCAATCAGAATAAAAACTATATATATTTTTTAAAATGCTGAATTTTACACTGATATGGTGAATTTAATCATATTTCGTTAATCTGATTACAATATTAACACTTACTTGAGTTCAAGTTGATCAGGCGAGTCAATCTTCATTTTTAAAGACGGCTATCTCGTAAACAATGGGCTCTAGAGGTAAAATGTTTGTAGATAATTTAATTTTATTTATTTTTTTGTAAGAGTTGTTTTTTCGTAGATTTTATAAATTACGCGATAGCAACAAAACAAAGAAGAACGTTATGTTAAACTCCGGCACACCACGCTACAATCAGGATTAATGGTTACCTCATTATAAAGCAATCATGAAAAATATTACCGTTAAAATTGTCGGAATCATACTTCAAAATTATTCAAAAATTGTCTTATTTGACTCAGTTATAAAATAAACTCTGTATGTACAGGTATAGAACCTGAAAATATTAATATACTCAAATATAGAAAATATATTATAGAAATAGAAAATAGAAATAGAAAAAAAATTAAACATTGAAAGAAAAAATAAAATTAAGATATAATGTATTATTAATAATATAAAAGCAACAGAGTATATAAATATTCATAAAAATGAAAATTAAGATTTAGTAAATATAAATTAAATATATTATTCACAAACAAAGAACGAGCCAAATAGAACTTCGATAGAATAATAAATTAAATGAAATTAATAATTTGAAAAAAAATAGTCTGAAATTATTTTATGATTTATTATTTCTTAATGATATTTACAACTGTATTAAAGAAATACATTTAGTAAATTTGAACATATGGATATAATGACGTGAAAACACTTGTTGATTAACTACCCAATGGTAGCACTCTAATGATATGTCTACATTAGGAGATCAAGGGGCCATCTTCTTTTCAGACGCCTCGGAGGGTTATCAGGAATTGAAGAGGAAGCAAGGTTAGAAACGAAAGGGTTGGGATGATTCTGAAGTTTATTATGGAAGGATAGGTATCTGGATTGGGCCAGATCTGAAACATAACAAACATTAAGGTCATTATGGATGGTTTTATTTGTAACAAAGAAGGTAGCATTGAGGATTTTCCGAAGGATTTTGGATTGTAAGGATTGGATACGAGAGCAATTCGATGGCTTAGTGGAGCCCCATAGCTCAACTCCGTAAGTCCAAATAGGCCTTATTATAGTCAAGTATATGAGTCTTTTGTAATTAATTGGAAGTTTAGAACGTTTGTCTAGTAAGTGTTAAAGTAGTCGGAAACGTCGAGCGGTTTCTTGTCGTTTCAGTCTGGTATAGTGTGGAACTATAAAAATAGATTGTACAAGAAGGCGATTTAAATGAGATCAGACTCAACAGCCAGATTTTTCGTATTAATTAGTTGATTAATTAATCCACTTTATAGTGGCTGGATGTATCTCAGGTGGATCTTCCGACCACAGGATCAGTCCACGGATGATATAAGAAAAAATAATTATCTACCACATTCGGACTAGAATCCGAATCTCGAAGCATATAATCATGGTACATTATTCACTGACCAACCCCACTCTCCAATAATTTGATTTAAAAAAATATAAGATTATGAATATTATAAATATGAATTTTCAACCACTCATTTTCTAAAAAAACATAAAAAGAATAAATTAAACTTAATACTTCTTTTAAAAGAAATGATTACAAAATTAAAGAAAAACAAAAGGTGAACAGCACGTTGTATAATGTTCTTAGCAAGTAATATCTTTCAGAGTAATTTAAAAAAAAATCGAAACACAGTTTAGAAATACAGTAGATGCAATAATTTTCTTGATTTTAATGTCTAATGAAGTATATTTACTCCAAGAAAATATTAAATATGCAGTCACTTATGTCTAAATTTTTATAGTAAAACTATAATTTTTTAAGCTAATAATAATTTTGGAATGTAATAAAATTAATTCCAAGAAAAATATAGAAACTCACTTTTAGATTGAGAAAGAAATGTGTACACCTCCATTTTATGCATCTGTTGTGAAAATCCGCAACGTTATAGATATAAGAAGAAGATCCTTGTGGAAGTAAAAGGTATTCTGAAACTGAGTTGTAACAGGAATCCTCAAGCAGTTTTTTTATTCAATCTTTGATGAGATATCTAACCGGAACTGCTTGTCAGGATTTATTTCTACGGATGGATTTTGAACTGATCCGATATATTTCTTTAAATAAATTATTCCACGGGCATCGCTTCCTCGGTGCTTCCACTACGATGGCTCTAAACAATACCCCCTCCATGAGACAGCTGGAGGAGAGCGAACTCGAAGCGCGACTAGTCGTTGAAGCCAGTCTGTAGCTAACCCTCCTGGGGGCAGCACAGCTCTGTAGTGCGAACGGTTTATCTTCCATTCTACGTCCAGGACTGGCTTCCAGGTCTGTTATCATTGACATAATTACGTAAACATAGAAGAAAAGATATCTCTTACTGTTTAGATTAGAACTCCGGTTGCATGCTCATTTAAAGTTACAATTATCTAATAGGAATGGAATATAATGCAGCGGTGATGAAGCAGTTAAATTTAGATGAAATTGATTTATGCATATGCGTCATTATTTGATAAAATATAATGCAACCGATCCATCTCGATCCGTACTTGTCATAGGTCACTCACTACTTGTTGAAATAAATCCATTTATAGGAACAACGTAAGCTATGCCAGTAAAACATTTTATACTTATAAAAACATTTTCTTTATAAGTGTGGAAATCACTAAGGAGAGAAAATGTTCCCATATGATTTAGTATGGGAATAAACGGTGTTACCTCCAAATATGGAATAAATTCCAAAACGATAACCTCCGGTCATGTTTTCAAATACAATCATTCCATTAAAAAGTAAATAAACCGTTCATAAAAATTTAGTCTATTTCATTTATTTTTAATAAAAAAAAAAATTAAAAATACATATTTAGACAAAAAATACTATTTTAAACCACAGGGGTAGTATGGAATTTAAAAACAATTAAAAATTATTACTATAACATGAAGAAAAGGATATATATATTTTAACGTCGGACGGTCATTTAAATTAAAAATGCATAAATATATAAACATTTTATTGACATTACGAGAAAAATAATTTTCAAAAGTGATTTAAAATAGTGTGCTATGAATGGTATAATAATACAGTAAATCATTGATTATTTTTTTAAATACACAATATAGGGTTCTTATCATTATAAAAATTAGTTTATAGCTCAATAACAAAAATATAAACAAAAACGCACACACCCGCGCGGAAGTAGTTTGGTCCTCCATTGACTTGAATATTTTATATATTTCAGTCACTTAAGATACCTTGAATGCATTATCGTTTGTTAATAATGAAATACAAATATTAACCAATATCGACATAGCAAAATTAAAGCTAGTAAATTTTGCTGTACGACCGAATGGAGGGTTGGTTTCATCCTTTAAGAACCTAGAGGACCACTTTTTAATAAAATTCTCTTAGATGTTATTAAAGAGCCCACAGTGTTCATTCAATATTAAGAAATTATGGAGATTTTTATTTTCGAGACTTATTACAAGAATATTTCAAATCTATATACATAAAATAGATTGTTAGCACAATGTCTAAGTGGCATGTGTGAAAATGTAAACTACGAAATTTGGAGTTTAAATTATATTTCCAGATCAATGGTAACTAATTTATGATTTATATTATTCGTGTTATGTGATATTCGGTCTAAACGCTGCAGCTATGTTTCATATGCAACGATCATAAAAAAAATAATTTAAAAATGACAAATAGGAAATCAAAAAACCAAAAATAGTAAACTTATGAGGTACACTACTTTGAAATTGAATCTGCGATATGTATTTATACATTTATCTTATTCCACCTAATTTATCGGGTGATTCTCGAAGTCATTCCGTTAAGCGTTGTGTAGTCTGAATTCTCCGGTTGAGTTTTATCCTTTTTTCAGTCGAAATATTCCATGAAATATTTTATTTCATACATCATAAGGCTTTGGTATTGTGCAACCATAATGCATATTGTAATTATACGTTTTAAGTTTTTAGAAATAAGGCACGCGTTAAATACGTAGGTACCATATAGGCTCAGTCAACTTTATTGATAGTCTGAAAACTATATTTTGTTCAATTGCCTATTTCCTCAAAGTTAGGTCGAAGGAGTAAAACACCCAATTTTAAATTTCTCATCCAAGCGGTGGTGGAACCACTTCTAGTTGAGTCCTTGGTGGTGAAATGGAGCGAATGCTTTGTGCTAAGTGATACTGTCTCAAGTCAGGAGACACCTTAAGTCCAATGTTATCCAAAGTTTTCTTAAGATATTTTCTAATAACGTTTTTACACCGGCAAACACCATGTTTGCTGATGATGGCTAGTAAACTTTATGTTTAATAAAATCATAAAAATAGTTGACAATCCTTCAAAAAAATTTAGTTATGCTTGGTGTTGTTAAGTACACTGTTTAAGAAGCATTTCTTTTCGTGAAATTTGTAAAATTTGATGCTACTGTATTTTAAAAATATTTTTGAAAATAATATTTTTTTAATACTGTTTATTTTACTACTCAATTACGGTTTTTAATTGTCTATTTTTTATTTAAAAAATACATAGTAGGCTGGTATTAATATCATAGGCTACTCATAGGCTAGTACTATGAGTAGTGATGAGTTACAAATTAATATGTAAAATAATTCACAGTTTGAATTTGTTTTTCTTTGGGTATGTTAATTTTACTATATGTTCTACATAATTTATTTTCTACAGATTAACGCATTATTTTATTTTTTAAACTCAAAAGATCAACGTTTAGAACTTTTCTTCATTTTAATGACGACACATTTTTTTTTTTTTTTTTTGCAATTTATCAATATAGCTTATTAATTATTATTCTTTCTTGCTTCAAATCTGTCTAAAATCATTAATTTAATTTAATAGATATTGACTATATTTGAGATAAAAAAGGAAGGAAATAGCTGGTCCCCTTTCCCATGTTTAAAGTTAATGTAAAAAAATTGAAGTCTGCAATTCTTAAAATGCTTAAAGTGACAACTTATCTTAAGCGCTAAGTTGGCAATTTCGTTGATGTTGTTTTTCTACTGTTTTATTTTATTTGATAACATATACTGCCATCTTAGCAACTGTATACACGACCTAGCCTGGCCTTTTCATTCAATTCAAATAACGTACAGCAGCAGGAAAAGGGAGTCCCTTCAAAAACTTAGAAGATAAAAAACATTTAAAATTTAATTTTTATATTTGTTCTATTATGGAGTTTTAGGAACTTTACAGCAACTTCTAAAAGCTTTAAGTCAAGATACTTTAAAATCTCAACCATTTTAGGGCACTTTGCTAACAGGAGATTTAGGCGATTGCTTACTCCTGTCCAATTTACAATGTAAATTTCAAAGTAAATTTATACCCAGATTTTTTTTTTAAAACAAATTAATCTTATGGGAAAAGACCCCTCCCAGTATAATATTATCGTAAGCCCACAACGTGATAATTTCAAGTTGTTTTAATTTCTAAAGTCTTGCACAAATAGCTTATATTGAATACTAACATATTAAGTATTTACAGTTAGGTCGTTAGGGTTTGAGGGAAATTTAAGGTCGCAGTGGTGTTAAAAATAATTGCTCTAGTAGTGTGGCCCATCATAGATGGCCAACCCTTAACCTAAATTACACTCAATTGCCTCATAGCTCATTATATATTAATTAATCTTTAGTTGCTTTTAGTGTAAAAAATTTGAATTTGTATCCTTATTTCTTACTTGATTAATAATTTATGTAGCCTTAATATTAATGCTCTTCAAATTGGCAGAATGTATTAATATTCAATAAAATAAAATAATAATTAATTAAATATAATCAGATTATACAATAAAATAAGCAACAATAAAATTGATAGACCGATACTTGCAATTTTAAATATATATTACGAATCAACATACAATTATAAAATTCATGATATTATTGTGAAAACCATATACTACCTCACATACTATATTTTGAGAGATGAAAAACAATTATTTACCAAAATAATAAAAAATAATTTATGAAATAGATCGTTAAACGAAAATATGAGAAGTATTATATACTAAAATATGCAGTACATACATATCACACACACACACAAATACATACACGGGAGGTATTACTTGTGTAATAATTAAATTAAAAAAGGTTTTGGCCGTAAAAATTGAAACAAAAATCTCGAATCTCTAAATCTAAATCTTGTTTGGAATAACTGTAATTAAAAAAATATATATGTGCATGTGTTTGATTTCATCGAGTGAAGTACTTCATCACTTGCACTTGATATACTTGCTTTCTTATGGAATGCTGATGGGAGATGAATATTGTATTTTGTTTGCATACATGTGATTTAGGTTGTTTCTGCCCTGACGAAGTCTGAATTGGCGAAACGTGGCTTTGGTTGTTTACCGGCATTTTAGGGACTCGAGAATTCTATACGAATTTTCCAATTAAAATCTCATATTTAATTTACACCTTTTTTTAGTTTTTGCTCTTTTATATAAGCTACTTAAAAAGGTCACCCATCAGGCCAAAACGTTTATTTTTTAAATGAAAATTTCTTTAGCCGCGTTTTACACTTTTTTTGTGGAGAATAAATTGCATTGAGCCGTCAGATCTCCGGTGTGTAACGCTCGGGTCGGCTAGAGTCAACTGCTTGAAGTGTTTTTGTATAAAGATCATAATAAACTAAAAATCGGACTTGGATATTATTAGAAATAGAAATGTTCATCATTTCATCCTTTTTGTAATGAGCTATTATTCAAAATTGTATCGTAATGCTACACTGTGTTAGAGAGGCGAAAAGGAAAACAATTGTGTTGAAAATCAAATTATAACGAGCTATATTGAAGATATGGATTAAAATATCTCAGAAATTAAATATCGGACCTACATACTGTAAGCGATGGAATTGTTCAGCATTTTATCCTCTCTGTAATGGGCTGTTATTCAAAATTTTATCTTGGCGCGACGCCGAGTTAGAGAGGAGAAAAATAGTGCCGAACACTGAACGCTAACGAGTTTCATTGTATATGGATTAAAGTATCTCAGAAACTAAAAATCGGACCTGCATACTGTAAGCGAGGGGAATGTTCATATTTCATCCTTTTCACAACGAGCTATTATTTATAATTTATGTTTTATATTGTTATTTTCCCCTTGTTAAGTTTTCACTTCTATCGTGTGGTCTAAAGCACAAACCTTAGTTTTTTATTATCATCATTTATTTATTTATTGCACACATTACATGATTGTTTGTAAATGTTGAGGACCAAATTTGGTGAACCCAATATTACAATAATATATTTTAAAGATTATTTTCTATTTATAAATTTCGGGACATTACTTGCCATTCCCAACAAT